TGCCCAGCTCCTCAGGCCCTCCCATAATAAACTTTGTATTTCCCTGTGTGCCCTGAGCAGGGTCCAGGTCCCTGTGCCCCCTGAGCTGGTCTCCCCATGGTGGGGTCAGACCCTCCTCACTGGTCCCTGGTGCTCCAGCACTCTGTATTTAGAGCCAAGAGGTTGCAGGGGACTCAGGCACAAGGGCATCACACCGTTCCCAGGCCTATTTTGTTTACATTTGATTCAATCAAGTTGTGGCCTTTTGGCCTCTTTCCAAATTAACTTCTGGGTGACCTCCACCATGCCCTCTCCCAGCAGCCAGGCCGCCGGGAAACAGCCCATTAAACCTACAAACAAATATGGGACATATTGGTTGATCAAACCAGCTTCAAACACTGCTCTGGAAATGCCAGGACATGGGTTTTTTTGTGAACTTCAGGTCTATTTTGTCTTCGGTCATTCACACCTCTGGGCCTCCTGCCTTTTTTTTTTTTTTTTCCTTTCCAAGTATAGCTGTGTGTTTTACTGCCTCGTAAAACTTCTAAATTTTGTTCTCATCCTCCTGCAAACCCCTCCAGGAGCAACGTGAGGTTCCTTCACATGGGGCTCACTGCAGGACTGGGTCTTTACACCAAGCACATGAAGAAAGGCAGCGAGACCCTGCTTGGGGGAACAGCTGTAATACTCCAAGAAATTGTGTCTTCCCCTTATTTGCAAGGAAATAAATCAAAGGGAGTTTCTCAGGGTCTGTGAAAGCATATTGCCTGGATTCCCATCCCCAAAGGGTTTATTTTTTCAAGAGCTTATATGGTAGTTAGATTTCTGGCTAGAAAATATGCAATATGATAAAAACACAGTCCCTATATGGGGCAATAAATTACAGATTGTTTGATGTGGAAACCAAAGAACTGTCAAACTCCAGTATATCTGAAATATTCTAAATGAGCCCTTAACTCGAGTGTCTGGAAATCTACAATATGTTTCCAGGCCATTCAATTTTGTAAAGACACATCTTCCCCAGCTAAGTTTCCTTTTATGGATTTTACTATTAATTTTTGGTGTGTTTTTTTCCTTCCTTTTCTTAAAAAATTATGCTCTTCCTCCTCGAGGCAGTACTATGATAAACACCAGGATTTACCTAAGCATAAAAAAGAGATTGCAACTGGGCACAAGCTTAAAGAGGTAGTGGCATTAAGGATGAAGTAAGGCATCTGCTGCAACAGTGTCAGAGCCCCATAGGCACTGCAAAGGACATAAAAGTCACTTCAGGACAGGCAGGGACAGGAGGGAGGACCAGGAGTGTCACATCAGCCAATTTGGTACCACAGACCCCTGCTGCATCCTTACACCAGCATCACTCTCTCCTTCCAGAGCCTTCCGTGGAGGAGGATGACCAAGAGGAGGTCACCAGTGTGGCAGGGCTCCCAGGACATGGGACATGTGTCACCACACCTCCCACCTCCAGGCATAGCTGCTAAAACCTGAAGCTCATCCCCATCTGTCAGCCACTCCAACGTCTCCGTGGCCAGAGGAAAATGGAGTGACCAGAGGAAATGGCTCACCCTGCACACAGCTTTCTGCCTGGGGATGTTACCAAGCCACAAAAAATCTGAGCAAGACCCTGTGCTGACACTGAATAACCTTTCAGTTTCAATATAGTTTCACTCAAGGGATGAGTGAAACCCTTCTAGCTAGAAACAGACCCCATCCACTCTGGGAAATAAAAGTTAGGAACCAATTCCAACTCATTTTCCTGAAGGTGACCCTTAGCCTCCCAGCTGAGATAACAATGCTAATATTTATGGATGGGCTGTTCATGCCTCTGGGCACACAACAAAAATAACTCAAATCAAAACTTGGTAGACATCTAACAGAACTGGGGGAAAAAAAATTCCAATATGGCAATAATAAAGCATCTCACCCACCAATGCACAAAAAATAGCATCAGCCACAATCACACGTTTGGGTGAAACACAAATGGTCTGATGTGATGAATAGGCAGCACTGAGGGGGACTCATCCAGAAAGGGCTGCCTTGAGACAGCACACAGCTCAGGCACTGTGTTTTTTTCATTTATTTATTTTAGCTTGATAGGTGCTCAAAGCAAAAAAATACAGTCTGGGCACTTTCCCCTCCCCTTTCCTCTGGGTTAGGTTTTCTCTACTTCTTTCAATCCCCATGAGTTTAATTCTAATGCACAAACCCCACTCTGATTTCAAACTGCAAACATTTGATGAGAATTTCTCATGTGAATGTGTGTACATTTACCCAAATTAGGTTTGAGAGGACACGAACTAAAGAGCAAGCACTATTTGTACACACAACACCGAATAAACAGACACTTCCAGCAGCATGAGCATCCTGGAATAAAGGTGAAGTCATCAGCAAATTACAGATATCTAGCAAAAATCTCCAAGTAAAAATAAAAGCTGTGGATCTCTATGAAAATTGAACCAAACAGCACGGTTCCGAGTCTGCACACACCCACAAAATCCAGGCTGTATGTCTAACACAAAACACTGGGAGGAAGCCACAACATTGTACAAGAGTCATAATTTAAAGGTAGTCACATGGGAAACCAGTTTACAGCTCTGAGCACCACAAAGATGGTCTTTTCTCCAAAAGATCCTGGATGTCTGAAAATCCTTAAAAACCACTGTTGGCTTGAGCTTGGTGGATAAGGAGATTTTCAACCCTCTCCAGCTCAGGAGTTCCCACTGCTTCCCAAATCTGAAGCCAACACCTGAAAGACACAACTGTAATTCATCCAGAGCTGCTGCTCCTTCCACATTTTATACTCTCTGGCAATCAAGATGCATTCCAGATGTGAAAGAGAGCTCAAAACTCCCTTCAGCCAAGAAAATAAGTGTGATGGTAAGCTCTGGCACCCCAAATCCCAAATGTAAGTAACCTCCACAGTTGCTTGCCTGGTATATAAGCTACTGACCAGTGACTACAGACCCTCTATAAGAATAGAATCATATAACAGAATTACAGATTGGTTTGGGTGGGAAGGGATCTTACAGATCATGTAGTTCCAATCCCCTGCCATGGGCAGGGACACCTTCCTCAGACCAGTTTCCTCCAAGCCCCAGCCAGCCTGGCCATGAACATGTCCAGGAATGGGGCAGCTACAGCTTCTCTGGGCAAGTTTCGTAATTAATTTGCACGAATCACTTCCCATTCTCTCCTGATTTTATTCAGTTCCTCCTCTTTCTCAAACACAGCTTTACAAGAGGGTTTGACATTTTTCAGGCTCTTACATTTATGCTGTTCAAACCAAAACAGCTTACTTGCCCCCTGTAACACATTCCAATCACAAGTGATTGTGACTGAGCTGACCATATTCACCCCCTCACCACAATTCTTCTCAGAGCAGCAGCTGACAGAGAAGCTGCTGCTGCAAACAGCTGAGCTGAGCACAGCAGTGTTTACCCAGGGTCTCCCACTCCACAGACCTCCACTCCTCAGAAGCCCAAGCTGTTCAGCAAAGACCTAACTTGACCCAGTCTGGCAGCCAGCATTTCACAACCACTTTATGTCAGCAGTTTCAAGTACATAATAACCATGTTTTGTTCAGTGCAACTTTCTCACTGTGAATGGCAAAATATCATTATCACCTGCAGGTTGAAGCCTGCCCTCTACCCCATTTAATAGGGAGCTGATTATGCTATCCCCCCCGCTTTTCCCCTTCTAATAATGATGGGCTGTTGGCAGATGGCACTGCTCGGCACAGGGAGCGTGTGGGAAGGCAGAGCAGGCTGCAGGGCCGCTGCCTGTGGCAGCTTTGTGGGGTGCTCCTGGGGACCCTGAATCCCTCGCTGCATCCTGCTCCCACTTTAGACAGCACCTAATGAGGCATGCCTGCCTCGGAGGGCGCGGGGGTTAAACAGGAATGGCTGTGAAAACAGTCCCTGGCAGTCTCGGAGCAGGAAAGCAGAGGTTAGCAGAAAAGTTGCTAAGCCAGCAACTCCAAAGAGAGCCGCCCTCACAGCCCACCCGGCTGGGCTTAACCCCAGGAACCCAGCAGAGCTTCGTGCCAGAGCCACCGTGGGCAAGGCCCCCTCTGGGAAGAGCTCCCTGAGGAGAGATGGGGCAGCTCAGCTGTGTTAACAGCATCATCACCTGAGGATTCGCCCTGTGAGCTCCCAGTGCTGCGTCCTGGCAAAGCAGCAAGCCCAGCCTGTGAGCAACACCTCCTCTGGGAGTCACTGTGACATCCACGCTCTGTGACACACAGCGTGAGCAGAGCCCAGAGCCAGACCCCAGCCCCGTGGCCTAAGGCAGTGCTGGGAAGGGTCAGCCACAAGCTGAAGGCTCTGCAGAGCTGCCACCTCATTCCCTGGCAGCAGCAGGGCTTCTTCACAGGCCTAACCTGGTGTGGCATAATGGGTAGAGACAAGATACCGCTTGTCCCAGGAAGGATGCCAGGTCTGAGGCAGTGGGAAGGAAGCTTCCTCCCCAGCAGAAAGGATCTCATCCAGCTCTGCCATTTCCCCATTCAACAGTACTTGCCCCATTACTGACTGGGAGAGAATTCCCAAGGAGCTACAGCAAAGGAAAAAGTGACCCTTATTGCCAGCCATGAGCAATACCAAAAGGAAATCCTCCAACCAGAGGGGACATCAGGTACGTGCCACATGACCCCCAGCCAGCACACCATGCTCAAGGGCACCCCATCAGCTCCATCTTTCCTGGACTTCCACTGCTAAGGCTGTGGATGCCCAGCAGAAGCATTCTTGTACTGCAGCCATGCATCCATCCACACATGACCAGGCACAGGCTGAGTCCTGGAGGCTGCAGCACGCAGAACCACAGCAGCAGGCATCCAAGAGGACCAGCCACGTGTGCTCTGTGGGCCTGGCGCTGTGCAGGGTGGCACCAGCTCTGCACACAGGGCTGCTGCAGATGAACCAGCCAGGATGTCTGTCTGAGCCCAGGGAGAGTCCGGGGGAGGCCGAACTGATTTGGAAACCGCCCACTCCGGAGCCATCCCTGCGGGCACAGCTGCAACAAACCTGGTTGATGTGTTTCAGCTTGTCAATAATCTGGCTGATCACTGGCTCCGGACCTTTCACCTTCACCTCGTGGTTGCCAGCCTGGGCTTTTGCTCCATTCCTTGTGATCTGGGGACTGTACCTGTAGCAATGAGAACAGAGAAGACAATGATGTGATCGGCTAATAGAGAGGAGATCTTTAAAGTTCAGTACAAACGTAAGAAATCCCAAGACACACAACAATCCTTTCCAAAACAGAGAGCACAAGACAGTTAATAATGCCAAAGAAAGGACAGAAGATTACCATAAACATTTTTGCTCTGACTTTGCAAGATAATGTAGTTGTATCAGTTGAGGACAATGAAGTCCTTTCCAGTCCATTAGTAACCAAGGAAGATGTTAAACAGTATACAATAGAGATAAATATTTTCACATAACTTGCACCCAAGAGTCCTAAAAAAGCTGGCTCAGAAATTCTGGCTTGCTCATGTTTGTTTAAAATAAATCTTGGCAGACCACAGAGACTCCAGTACAAGAGCAGTAGTGTTGTGCCCACAGCCAAAAAAATGAGTGGGATGACCCAGTTAACTGCAAGCTGATTAGCATAACATCAACCCCCTTGCAAAATAATGACTATCACTGATGTGTGATTTCAGTAATAAAGAATTAAAGCATCAGAATATAATTAATGCTGTCAACATTGCTAATGGAAAATAGGTGTTGTCAAACAATCCTGATTTCAGTCTTTGATGAGATCCAGCCTTAGGGATCAAAGTAACTGCTCAGACAGAACGTACCTTGACTTTGGTACAGTGCTGGGCTCTGCACCACAGGGTATCCTGATTTACACAGGTACCATGGGAGCCAGCAAAGTCCCCACAGACTAGATTAAACTGCCAGGGCAGCTCTGCAGAGGAGGGCCCCAAGCTGCACTCAGCTTTTTCATCAGCACTCAGGAAAGAAACGTACATTCACCTGCTGCAAGATTGATGGAATGACAAAGTGTACCAGAGTGATTAAAGGGAGGGGAAGAGGGACAGAACTGCTGCACATTTGCCTTTGGAGGAACACGTCCCTACACTCAGGACCTGGGTAACAGCTGGTGATGCTCCGGCACAAGACAAGAACCAAACTCAAACTCAGGTTTGGGCCAGAGCCTGCTGCAGCCACAGCAGTGGCACGGGGCACACGGAGCTCTGGGCTGCTGCCACTTATCACAGCCCCAGTGATGGGCTGTGGTGCTCTGCAAGCACAAAACAAGTCCTCATCTCCAAGAATTGGCAGCCAGAACAGGCACTACCAAACCCTGGTACAGCCTCCAAAAGTGAGATCACCGCGATAACACCAGCATCAGTCTGCTTTACTGTACCATCTGTTTTTCCAGTGCTATGGGTAAACACCATGGATTTTCCTTCCTGCATTCATCTCCCACACATCATGTTTTTACCCAGCTCCCAGCACCAGTTCTAAGGGCTGCCTCCCTGTCTATCAGCTCCCTGTTCCCCTGCCCAGCTAATCTTCCATCCTGATGCTGCCAGGCAAGCTCAGGCAATCACAGTCAGCCCGTTTCACATGGATTTTGGGGAGAAAGTGGGACTTTAGCAGGCATTTAAAGAAGGGGAGGGAGACAGGAGGGATGGTGGGGCCAGCTCAGGGAGGATGCTTTGCTAGTGTAGAAAGCAAGAGGCATGAACATTTGACCACAAGAACTATCAGGGCACACGGAGGGGCTTGGCAATACTCAGGGGCTTGGATTAAACCCTAAACTAGAGGATGAGATCTACTCAGACATGTGGGGATGCAAAGGCAACCCCAGATCTCTACTGGTGCAGCAGCAATCTACCCCAACCTGAAATACTCACATAGTTTAATTACAGAACTGAGGCAGATTTCCACTCCAAGGTATCTCAGAGCAGGAGTTCCATGTACAGGAGCTCTCTGCACCTCCAGCTGGGTCCCCAACACCAGGCATTCCCCGTATGTATCTCCATTAATGGCTGGCAACCCTGCAAGATGCTGCACTGAAGAGGACACAGGGAAAAGGACAGGAGAAAGGAGCTGTTTGTTCTTATAGCACAGGAACACACGCCTGTGTAAATTCCTTTTCCAGGCATTAGCAGCTTTTCCAGGTACAAGCATCACAGATTCATCAGCTCGGCTCTCCCAAGCCCCACCAAGTCCTGACCACGGGGGCAGCTGCCTGCCCAGCCACCCCTGCCCTGCATCCCAACACCCAAAATGCTGGAGCCTCCCGTCAGGACTCAGCATTTTGCAAAACGCCTTTTTTTAAACAGCTGCCTTATCCTGGGAAGCACAAAACGCAGCTGTACCTGAGGAACAATCGCTCCCAGGTCAGCAAACCCTCCTGGGTGCAGGCTAAAGCTGAGTGATGGCAGAAGGGGCCAGGCTGGGGCCAGCCTGCAGTGCCCATGGCCCTGGCACAGCCCTGCATGCTCCGAGCACCATCTCGTGGGAAGAGGCTGCTGCCGCAGCACAGACCTGAACCCGGCTGAAGTTCCTGCAGGAGCATGGAGAACCATTAATCCTGCTGCTTGTTTGTCACACAGCCACTTAATGCCACCCTGCCGACCTGACAAACGCATCTGGAGACTGGACGCAGACATCCAGAGCACGCACGAGTTTTAAGATGACAAAGAAATTCCTATCTTTGGTGTCACTGTACATTTAATTTAAAACACCGGTGGAACTCAGAAGTACATTGCTGAAAGGTTTCCTGTGGTTTCAGAGATTTAATCAGGAAATTCACACAGGTTTTAGCAAGAGCGGAACCAAGCCCACTTGGTGCATCCCTAAATTAACACAATCTCTCTCCTAAGCAGTTTTATACAAACAAACACAATAGCTTGGGTTTGAGTGGGCGAAATCCCTTCTGAAATCCACGCAGCAGCTGCCAGAGAGGATTTCTGTAGCCTACACAACGTAGTGCAGGAGGAAGGAACACAGTACTACAGCAATACTATACTATAACTCCATGTCCAGAGACTGAAACTGTTCTCCAGAAGGTTCTCCTGGGGTTGTGAGGACCTCAGATCAGCCTTCTCAGGGGGAAAAGTCTACTAGAGAGGGAAGCAAACATGAAAGCATTAGCAGAGGGATTTCTCCCTAAAACAGTGATGTTGGAAAAATGGAGTGTCACCTCCTGGTGCTTCCCACCTGGCCAGATACAAGGGTACATACCTGACCCAAAATGAACCATTTGCACAGTTACACAAGTCATTTGCAGCAAGACAATGGGCCCAAAGACGCACATCTTTGAGTATGAATTGCAAAAAAGGAGATGCATGGGGACCCACTACATCCCACCAGGCAGAGACACGGTCCTGTGTGACTTGGGTGCTTTGGGGGACACATCCTCCAAGCTGAGACCTCCTGGTGTGCTCAGGTACAAGAAGGGCACCAGATTCCCTCAGCTGTGCCAGACTCTGCCCCAGCACCAGCCTGGAGTGGCCACATTCAGTGGGATGTAGGCAATCAAAGGGTTAAAAGCTTTGAAATGCAGCTTCAGTGAGCGACCTGCATTCCTGAAATGCCAGAGAAGCTGGAAAAGGCAGCTGGCACCCCTCCCTGCAGCCCGGGCCAAGCAGCCTGGCCTTAATATGGCAGAGAGATGCTTTTGCAGACCCCAACAAGCTGGGGGTCCCAGGATGTACCCTTACAGGCTCCTCTGCATCCCCCCAAGATGAAGGGTTGGTGGGCCCACAGGAAAACAAGCCAAAGCACCCCCTTCCTCCATGTTCTCCAGACAGTGCAGAAAAAGAGAAATCTCTGAGCCATCTCAAGCTGTTTTCAGCTTATGCCAATAAAACAGCCCCTTCTGCAGGACACTTGTGCCACCTCATGAAAGCCACCACGTGCCTCTGCCACAGTGACTGATACCAGCATGGAACAGCAAATATGCACAGAGGATAAAGGCCCCCAGCCTGGTCCCCGGGGGTCTCTGGGCCAAAGGGGTATCAGTGTTGCAACATGAGCATGGTCTGGCTCACACTTCATAAGCAAAGCCCAAAATACTTTTCCCTTTGACGTGTCTCAACGTCAGTCAGCAGCATCTCCTTGCCTGGGCTCCCTGGGTGTGGGCTCTTGCTGGGGATGTGGTATTTTCCATACACAAATGTCACGTTGTTAAACGTGCTGATAAGCAGCCCTCGTTAAAAATTACTTTAAAGACAACCACCTTATGAAAACACCAATAATCTGAAGTTTTCTGTGGGGAGAGTACAACTGCAGACCCTTCCTGCTTCTTCTCATCCACCAGACATAAATGCCCAAGTATGCTGTCAAATTGAGGGATTTTCTTTTCCTTTCCTCTCCACCATCCACAAATGTCTCTTGTGAATGTTTGGTCTTTCCAGCCCAAATGCAGCTCATTCCAAACTTTCATTTCAGAGCAAAGAAGACAAGATGACAAATGTTATTTAAATACATGGCAATGAGTGTAAGATGTGTGTTCATCCTACTCGGCCCTGCTAGGCTTTGAGGTGAGTTACTGCAATGCCTGACATGTAATTTAGAGAAAGTAATCCTGAAAGTCAAACATAAAGAATTACACCTTTTAGAAAATGGAAAGTAAGTATGTCATTCAAATAACAATTAATTTATGCCTGCCTTCCAGTTGCAAATTATTTATTCAAATGTATCTCCAGTTTAAATAGCACAGAATCCCTCACAGGTTCTCTCTCTGCTATCTGTGTCCACTGAATTATACCATATATATTATGTCAGAGAGAGTGGGTAGGGGATAAACACAACACAGACACAACACAGAGGTTTCACTGCACAAGAATTTTGAGTTTGAGAGAGCAACATCCCCCCAGACCCCCAAAGCTGCTCTGCATTTCAAAACGTGACTTACTACTGATCATATGGACTGGTGACATGGAGTCCTTACCACACAGAAATGAAAAAAGGGAGAAAGGGAAGAGAAGTTTTGCCACCCCCTCCTCCTAACATGAGCCCAGCTCTTAGCTCCAGCTGGTTTTCACAGGTCAGTAAAGGTGGGTGCAGTGGTGAAGCCAACATTTTACTCTCTGACCATGCTAATTTCTGGTTTAGTGAGACTCTCAGTGTCACATCAGCAGTGGGGGCCAAGAGACTTGAAAAGCTGCTTCCAACCCACTCATC